TCCAATTTTCTATTGTAGACTTTTAAACAGCTCATCTTTCGATCGAAGATCTTAAAACAATCCAATTTCACCCATTGATCTTTAAAACAGTCCAATTTTCTTTTGTAGATCTTGGAACACCTCAACTTTCAATCGTAGATCTTTAAGCAGTCCAATTTAGCATTGTAGCATCTTTTAAGAGCTCAAATTTTACATTGTTAATCTTTAAACATTCCAGTTTTCAATCGTAGACCACTTAAACAGTCCAATTTTACAATTTTAGATCTTTAAACATCTCACCTTTCAATCGTAGATCGTTAAACAGTAAAATTTTTAGCTATTGATCTTTTAAACAGTCGAATTTTTCATTGTAGATCTTTTACCTCAACTTTCAATCATGGATCTTTTAAACAGTCCAATTTTCAGTTGTTGATCTTTAAACATCTGACCTTTCGATCGAAGATCATTTAAACAATCCAATTTTCACCCGTTGATCTTTAAAACAGTCCAATTTTCTATTGTAGATCTTTAAACACCTCAACTTTCCAATGTAGATCTTGAAACAGTCCAATATTCTATTGTAGATCTTTAAACACCTCAACTTTCAATCATGGATCTTTTAAACAGTCCAATTTTCAGTTGTTGATCTTTAAACATCTGACCTCTCGGTCGAAGATCTTGAAACAGTCCAATTTTTCATTGTAGATCATTAAACATGTGAACTCTCGATCGAAGATCTTTAAATAGTCCAATTTTCACCCTACATTATTTAAACAGTATAATCCTTAATCGCAGATCTTTAGCCAGACCTATTTCCTAGTAAACTTATTCAATAAATTCCGTTATCTTTCTATTTCTACTTTCTGCAATCTTTAAACTTGTTCCTCTCACTGTATTTAACCTTTATCCTACCTTTCGCATTCCCATTTATGGTACAAAATAGTTATTTTCTTTACAATTCTTCGTTTAATTAACAGCTAAAAACCACATTTCTTTAGAAGAAAACAAATCTAAATCATCTTATAATGACTTCATATACAATTCCTAAATATTGGCAAAAGTAAAAAATGCAATAATTGTTCACTATAACCACAATATATATATATATATATATATATATATTCTGTATAAGTAAATAAATGATCAAAAGTATATAAAACTTTATCTGTTTTTTTTGCACAAAACCAAAAAAGACCTTGATCCCGCATTAAACAGCAAAAAAAGCGAAATTGGCAAAAAAATAAAAAAGCAACAAAAAAAATTGTTTTAAAACGATTTCTTAAATTGCATGAAACATTGTCAAAGTGTTGGCTTAAATAAATTTTCAAAAGGAGTTCCCCTCTCACATTCTTTTTATGGATGGTATAATAGCAAGAGATGGTGGAGGGGGGTGGAGTAATAAGTCTTTAGGCTGCCAGCAGCAGGCACTCCTTAAAATAAAAAGTCCATTAAAAAAAAAGAACAGAACACAATACAGCACAGAATACTTCGTTTAACAGATGATCATGACTTTTATACTTGGCTGTTTAAGTCCGTCCATACATAGATTCGTGTGCCTTTTCTGTTGTTGTTGTTGTTCTTGTTGCTATTGGATCGTTGTTCATAAAATCTCTGTGTGTTCAGACTTTAGCAATAATACAAAAAATAATACTCATAGCTTGATCTTGCCCCCATATAATATCAACAACAACAACAACAATATATTTACAACATCTTTTTTTTGTTGTTGTTGTATTTTTATGGAGAGTATTTTATATTCATTTCATTGTGTTTTTCATTTAATTTTGCTGGATTTTTTTTTGTATAAATAAATTCTTTGTTTGATGATGAGTTACCCTTTGCCTTTATGTTATTAAATGTTATTAATAACCCTTAAACGGGACGAAAGTAATTTTAATCCCTATTTTGTATCCTAGATCTATAAACCATACAATTTGTAATTGTAGATCTTTAAACATTTAAATTTTCCATCAAAGTTCTCTTAAAAACCGTCAAATTTTCATTTGTTGATCTTGTGACAGACCAGTTTTCAATAGCCGATCTTTAAACACTTCAGTTTTTTAACAAAAATCTGTTTAAATAGTTATATTTTCCATCGTAGATCTTTTTGCTAAGAAAGATCTGATAAACATAAACATTTTCTACCTTAGATCAGTCAAACTACCAAAATTTTCATCACCCGATCTTGTGACAGTTCAGTTTTCAAACGCAGATCTTCAAATAGTTCTGTTTTCTACCAAAAATCTTCTTAAACGGTCTAATTTTTAATCTTGAAGCTTTAAACAGTTACCATTTCCCATTGTAGATCTTTAAACTCTCTAATTTTCCACCATTGATCTTTAAACAGTTCATTGTCCAATCTTAGATCTTTGGGCAGTCAAATTTTCAAATCCCAGATCTTTAAACATTACATTTGTTTAAATGAAGATCTTTAAACAGTTCTATTTAACATCGAAGATCCTTAAACAGTCCATTTCCTCAAAGAAAGATCTTGAAACAGATCGATTTTCAAACATAGATCTTTACATAGTTCAATTTTTAGCCATAGATCTGTTAAACCGACACAATTCATATTCAACGTTCTTTAAACACTCGAATTTGCAACCATTGATCTTTAGACAGTTTAAATCTTCTTCAATTTTTCATCGTAGATCTATTAACACTTCAATATCCCATCGAAGATCATTCAACAGTGCTATTTTCAATCGCAGATCTTTAAACAGCTCTTTTGTTCATGAAAATATCTTTCAACAGTCCATTTTGCGATCGTACATCAATCACAGATCTTTGAACGCATTCGTTATCAATCGTAGATCTTTAAAGAGTCCATTTGATCAAGGGAAGATAATTAAACAATCTTATTTTCAATCGTTTATCCTTGAACATAGCATAAATCTATTAAATCGTCCAATTTTAATCGTTGATCTTTCAACAGTTCCATCTTTCAATCGTAGATCTTAAAATGGCCCAAATTTCAATCGTAGATCTTTATACAGTCCAATTATTAATTTTAGATATTAAAACAACCTAATTTTTAATCGTAGATCTTTAAACAGTCCATTTTTTCAAAGACTGATCATTAAGCAATTCAATCATCAGTCGTCGATCGTAAAACAGTCCAATTTGTATGCACAGTTCGGTGAAGCAGTCCAATTTCTAATCGTTTATCTTCAAACAGTCCAATTTGCAATCGTAGATCTTTAAAAAGTCCATTTTTTTAAAGAAAGATCATTACACAGTCCGATCTTCAGTTGTAGATTGTAAAACAATCCAATGCTCAATAGAAAATCTTTAAACTGTCCAGTTTTCCTTCACCGATCTATTAAACAGTTAAATTTTAAAACGTTGATCTTTAAAACTTCCAATTTCAAATCGTAGATCTTTAAAAAGTCCAATTTTTCAAAGAAAGTTCATTACACTGTCCGATCTTCAGTTGTAGATCGTAAAACAGTCGAATGCTTAATAGAAAATCTTTAAACTGTCCTGGTTTCTTACACCGATCTATTAAACAGTTCAATTTTCAAAAGTTAATCTTCAAACAGTCCAATTTTCAATCATAGATCTTTAAAAAGTCCAATTTTTTAAACAGAGATCATTACACAGTCAAACAAAGATCATTACTTCAGTTGTACTTTGTAAAACAGTCCAATGCTCAATAGAAAATCTTTAAACTGTCCAGCTTTCCTTCACCGATCTATTAAGCTGCTCAATTTTTAAACGTTAATCTTCAAACCGTCCAATTTGAAATCGTATATCTTTAAAAAGTCAAAATTTTCAAAGAAAGATCTTTACGCAGTCCGATTTTCAGCCGTATAACGTAAAACAGTCGAATACTCAATAGAAAAATCTTTAAACAATCGAGTTTTCCTCCACCGTTCTACCAAATAGTTCAGTTTTCTAACGTTGATCTTCAAACAGTCCAATCTTCAGTTGTAGATCTTTAAAAAGTCCAATTTTTTAAAGAAAGATCCTTACACAGTCCGATCTTCAGTCGTAGATCGTAAAACAGTCCAATGTTCAATAGGAAATCTTTAAACTGTCCAGTTTTCCTCCTTTGATCTACTGAATAGTTCAATTTTCAAACGTTGATCTTCAAAAAGTCCCATTTTGCAAAGAAAGATCATTACACAGTCCGATCTTCAGTCGTAGATCATAAAACAGTACTATGTTCAATAGTATATCATTAAACAGTCCAATTTTCATCCACCGATCTCTAATACAGTCCAACTTTTAATCGTTGATCCTCGAACTGTTCAATTCTCAATCCTAGATCTTAAAAAAGTTAAATTTTTCAAAGGAAGATCATTACATAGACCGATTTTCTATAGTAGATAAATGATCTCTTAAGAGTTCAATGTTCCTCCACCGATCTACTCCAATTTTCTATCGTTGATCTTTAAACAGTCCATTTTTTCAAAGAATGTCTTTACACAGTCCGATATTCTTTACACTGTCCGATAAACATTCCAATTTCTTAGCGTTGATCTTCAAACAGTTCAATTTTCCTTTGTAGATCTTTAAAATGATAAATTTTCAATGTTAAATCGTGAAAACGTCCATTTTTTGCTAGCGGATCTTGAAACAGTCCTATTTCTCTTTGTAGAACTTAAAATAGTTAAATTCTCAATTGTAGAACTTGAGACAGCTCAATTGTAAATTGTAGATCTTTAAAAGGAACAATTTTCAAGTTTAAGAATGTCTCTTTAGACATTTAAGGGGTTAATTTCTCGGTTACTTATTCATATCTCTCTACACACACAAGGTTTTATAAAATTTTTTTTTGCAGTCTTTCAGAAAATGCAGTTTGCATATTAAAATCTTTGAGCTTTTTTTTTAGCTGTGAACTTGAAATGAATGAATGGTTCAATACTCTGGACATAAATCAAACAAACAATTTAAATTCCCTTTAAAAAAAGAAACGAAAATTTGAAAAAAAAATAAAATTTTTAAAATTAATACAAAATTTTAAATAGCAAATGTTTTATGTTAATAAAAATCTTTACATTTTCTTTTATTTACAGTTGGCTAAAACAACAACACTATTTAACAGTAATTGAGCAAAAAAAAAAGTATTTTCTATTCATCACTTGGCAAAAAGAAAATTTTGAAAAAACACACAAAATTTAAACAAAAACTAAATATTTTGGAGTAAAAAAAAATATTTTTTAAAATAACATAATAACAAATAATAATAAAATAAATAAATAAAACACAACATAATAAACACTAAGAAGAAAGGAACTAATAAAAAAGTAAAGTTTTATAAACAGAAAACGGCATAAAAAAGAGAAAACTAAAAAAAAAGAGTTAAAACCCCCTTAAAAAAAACCCCACAAATAAAACGAAAAAATAAACTAATAAAGAGTTAGCTATAAAACGAAAGCCTTTTAAGAAAAAGATATAAGAAAACACAACAACAAAAGTTACAAACTAAAACCCTAAAATGACAACTAAGCTGAGAGCATTAAGCACCACAACTCACTGAGAGTGTGTGTTCAATAGTAAAAGAGAAAATCTACAGAGTCATAGTAAATACTTAAACCTTCAGCATAAATTACATATAGCTTAGACACAAACCAAAAACCATCACAACAAAATGGCTATAAACTTTTCCGCTTCTTTTGCGGCCTGCATAGCTGCGGGCCTTAAAGTGCCGCGTCAAATAATGTACTGCATTACCCAGGATACGGGACAGCCCTATGTTCTCTATAAAGACTCACAGGAGGCGGAGCGTAATGCTGCCGCCATAGGTGGCTCGGCCACCCAGTGGGGCAGTGAAATGTATCCGGGCATACAGCAACAGGCTCAAACACATTTAAGCGCACAACAGCAACAGCAGAATGCAGCTGCGCAAATAGCGGCTAATGGCCAGTCGGCAGCGACAAATGGACCACAGCCTACGTCGCCGAATGGAGATCCTAATGTTCGAGAGAATGGTGGTGATGCAGGAGGAGGTGGTGGCGGTGGGGGTGCTGGTAGTGCGGGTGGTGTAAGACAGCAAGGTTCGCCCTCGACTAGTCCCTACCCGCCACAACAGCAACAGCAGCAGCAGAGAGCGAATGGCAGCAATGAGGATGATGTGAATATGAATCAGGTGAGGGGAAAGGTTAGTTCTGTCTAAATCAAATTTACTTAAGTTCAGTTCTAGATCAAATCTAATTCTAATTCGCGATCAGTTTTGTTCTGTATAAACAGTTCTCCTTCTGTTCTAGTTTAGTTCTAGCTCAGTTCTATTTCAGTTCTAGTTCAGTTCTAGTTCAGTTCTAGTTCAGTTCTAGTTCAAGTTCAGTTCTAGTTCAGTTCTAGTTCAGTTCTAGTTCAGTTCTAGTTCAGTCTAGTTCAGTTCTAGTTCCGTTCTAGTTCAGTTCTAGTTCAGTTCTAGTTCAGTTCTAGTTCAGTTCTAGTTCAGTTCTAGTTCAGTTCTAGTTCAGTTCTAGTTCAGTTCTAGTTCAGTTCTAGTTCAGTCTAGTTAGTCTAGTTCAGTTCTAGTTCAGTTCTAGTTCAGTTCTAGTTCAGTTCTAGTTCAGTTCTAGTTCAGTTCTAGTTCAGTTCTAGTTCAGTTCTAGTTCAGTTCTAGTTCAGTTCTAGTAGTTCAGTTCTAGTTCAGTTCTAGTTCAGTTCTATTCAGTGTTAGTTCAGTTCTAGTTCAGTTCTAGTTAAGTTCTAGTTCAGTTCTAGTTCAGTTCTAGTTCAGTTCTAGTTCAGTTCTAGTTCAGCTCTAGTTCAGTTCTAGTTCAGTTCTAGTTCAGTTCTAGTTCAGTTCTAGTTCAGTTCTAGTTCAGTTCTAGTTCAGTTCTAGTTCAGTTCTAGTTCAGTTCTAGTTCAGTTCTAGTTCAGTTCTAGTTCAGTTCTAGTTCAGTTCTAGTTCTAGTTCAGTTCTAGTTCAGTTCTAGTTCAGTTCTAGTTCAGTTCTAGTTCAGTTCTAGTTCAATTCTAGTTCAGTTCTAGTTCAGTTCTAGTTCAGCTCTAGTTCAATTCTAGTTCAGTTCTAGTTCAGTTCTAATTCAGTTCCAGTTCAGTTCTAGTTCAGTTCTAGTTCAGTTCTAGTTCAGTTCTAGTTCAGTTCTAGTTCAGTTCTAGTTCAGTTCTAGTTCAGTTCTAGTTCAGTTCTAGTTCAGTTCTAGTTCAGTTCTAGTTCAGTTCTAGTTCAGTTCTAATTCAGTTCTAGTTCAGTTTTAGTTCTGGTACAGCTCTAGGTTAGTTCTAGTTTAGTTCTAGTTCAGTTCTAGTTTAGTTCTAGTTTAGTTCTAGTTTACTTCTAGTTTACTTCTAGTTTAGTTATAGATTAGTTCTAGACAAGTTCTAGATCAAGTTCTGATCTAGATCTAGTCCAGTTCTAGTATAGTTCTAGTTCAGTACTAGATCTGGTGAATATGAATCAGGTGAGGGGAAAGGTTAGTTCTGTCTAAATCAAATTTACTTAAGTTCTAGTTCAGTTCTAGATCAAATCTAATTCGTGATCAGTTCTTGTTCTATATAAACTCTAGCTCAGTTCCTGTCCAGTTCTAGTTCAGTTCTAGTTTAGTTCAAGTTCAGTTCTAGTTCAGTTCTAGTTCTAGTTCAGTTCTAGTTCAGTTCTAGTTCAGTTCAAGTTCAGTTCTAGTTCAGTTCTAGTTCAGTTCTAGTTCAGTTCTAGTTCAGTTCTAGTTCAGTTCTAGTTCAGTTCTAGTTCAGTTCTAGTTCAGTTCTAGTTCAGTTCTAGTCAGTTCTAGTTCAGTTCTAGTTCAGTTCTAGTTCAGTTCTAGTTCAGTTCTAGTTCAGTTCTAGTTCAGTTTTAGTTCAGTTCTAGTTCAGTTCTAGTTCAGTTCTAGTTCAGTTCTAGTTCAGTTCTAGTTCAGTTCTAGTTCAGTTCTAGTTCAGTTCTAGTTCAGTTTTAGTTCAGTTCTAGTTCAGTTCTAGTTCAGTTCTAGTTCAGTTCTAGTTCAGTTCTAGTTCAGTTCTAGTTCAGTTCTAGTTAAGTTCTAGTTCAGTTCTAGTTCAGTTCTAGTTCAGTTCTAGTTCAGTTCTAGTTCTAGTTCAGTTCTAGTTCAGTTCTAGTTCAGTTTTAGTTCAGTTCTAGTTCAGTTCTAGTTCAGTTCTAGTTCAGTTCTAGTTCAGTTCTAGTTCAGTTCTAGTTCAGTTCTAGTTCAGTTCTAGTTCAGTTCTAGTTCAGTTCTAGTTCAGTTCTAGTTCAGTTCTAGTTCAGTTCCAGTTAATTCTAGTTCAGTTCTAGTTCTGGTACAGCTCTAGGTTAGTTCTAGTTCAGTTCTAGTTTAGTTCTAGTTTAGTTCTAGTTTAGTTCTAGTTTAGTTTTAGTTTAGTTCTAGTTTAGTTCTAGTTTAGTTCTAGTTTAGTTCTAGTTTAGTTCTAGTTTAGTTCTAGTTTAGTTCTAGTTTAGTTCTAGTTTAGTTCTAGTTTAGTTCTAGTTTATTTCTAGTTTAGTTTTAGTTTACTTCTAGTTTAGTTCTAGATCAAGTTCTGATCTCGATCTAGTTCAGTTCTAGTATAGTTCTAGTTCAGTACTAGATCTGGTTCAGCTCTGCATCTAGTTTAGTTCTAGATCTAGTTCAGTTTTAGATCTAGTTCAGTTTTAGATCTAGTCCATTACTTTAATTTTTCCTTTTCTCGCCCACAGGCATCTGGTCTCCATCAAAACTCCACCCAACAAACCAATCCAAACCAAAGCTCAAATGATCCCCAACAGCATCAGCAGCAGAACGGCAGTGCTGCCGGTTCCGCGGATAATCCCGCGGGGAATAATCCACATGTACAACAGAATGGCCAAACTAACGATCACAGCAATTTTCCTACAGCGAATGGTGAACTTTCGGGTTACTATGCGCCACGCCACCCGGGTCAGGGTGCCCTAATGGCACCGCCCGGTTTCCCACCCCTACACTATCTCAACAAACCCGTGCTGCCGGGACTCAACGGCAGTATGGATCAAAGTGCAGCCAATGGTCCCTCCAACGGCTTAGAGGGTTACACCTTGCCCGAACTATTACCCGGACAAAATGGCTCTGCTAATAGCAATAACCAGCAGAATGGCTCTAATCACAATACAACAACCTCCAATGGCACCGGCGGACGTCATCCCACCTCTAGCAGCAATAACAATTCGTCGGGCAGTCATAAACCCCCCAAACCTCATAGTGATCTTAGGCTATTCAAGTGCCTGACCTGCGGCAAAGATTTTAAGCAGAAAAGCACCCTACTGCAGCACGATCGCATACACACAGACGCACGTCCCTATCCATGTTCGGAATGTGGCAAACGCTTTCGGCAACAATCGCATCTGACGCAACATTTACGCATACACGCCAATGAGAAGCCCTTCACTTGCGGTTACTGCAATCGAGGCTTTAGACAGCGGGCGATACTGAATCAACATGTTCGCATCCATTCGGGTGAGAAGCCCTTTGCGTGTCCCGAGTGCGGCAAGCACTTTCGCCAGAAGGCCATCCTTAATCAACATGTGCGAACCCACCAAGGCGAGCGACAGTTCTTGAATAAATTCTTGAGAAAAAAATTAGAACAGAAATTTTGCAAAATTAAACAAAATCCCAAACCGAGAGTTACAGTTTAGGGCAACATTTTTGGCAAAAATTTATGAAAATTTTAGACAAAATTTTAGTTTTTTTTTTCATTTGGCTAATTTATTAAAGAATTATAGAAAAAAAGCACTTTGTTAACAAGGAATTGGCTTGATTTTCCAAAACTAAAGGCTTTATAGGCCTCCAAAAAGAAAAACTCACACAACTCGTTCGCCTTCTATTTCAAAATTTTTCTTACAAAATATTTTGTATCTCGTAAACCTTTAAGGCCTTTAGTTTGGAAAATCTTTTTTGTAAAGAAAAATCTGGCAAAAACTTTCAAAATTTTTTATAAAAATATTAACTGTATGGCTCTCATTATTTAAAAACAAATACTTTTAAAACTCTTAAAAAGGAAAGTGCTGAAGCACTTTGCCGTTTCTTGATAAACTTCTACTCTTAACTCTGTAGTTTAGCTTAGACTTTGAAAAAAACTTTCTTTGAATCCCTTTAACAACTTTTAATAAAAATTAACATTTATTTCATTTGTTTTAAACTTTTAGATGTCTCACCACATCTCATCTTTAAAAATGGTCCACATC